AGAGAGATGCCTTTCAGGATCTGCATTAGATGATAAAATAGCGGTTTCATCAGCAAAAGTTGTCAGGAATGTATTGGGGAGATCAGGAGTAAAGAGGATATAAAGGGTCCAAAACACTATAGTCTGTGGGGCAGACCCTCCTACCGTGCACCTCTCCCCCCCCCCCTCCCCCACATCCTATCATCGTTGCGTTCCTTGTAACTATTTATTAAAAAAAACCCAATGTCTCCTCAAAAAAAAGTGAACGCACTGCACCAAACATGGCGGATTGACGACTTTGACTTTAGTTAGTTTTTTGGTTACTGAGAATCAGCATTTTGCTTAATTTCGTCATAGTTGGTCTTTTATTAAAGCTAGTTAGTCAGAGAATAATAAAATATTAAAAAATAATTGGCTTAGGCAATAAAAAAACTCCAGTAAAGTCAATTTTTTTAACAAACAAATTTTCAAGTTGAAAATCAAGCGTCGTTTGTAATTAAACGGCCAACAATAACGCAAAACGTGCTGAAATAAAATATCTGGATAATATATTTATCTTTCTAAAACACTGATTACTTTTTAAAATATTTGGAGCAGTTCCGTAGAAAATGCATTTAAGCAGCAGAAAAGCGGTACTGACGTAGATGCCTTCAGACCTCTACCACACCACTCAGTACTCATAAATGGCTTAGTTATAGTTCTATAATAACGTTTTTGGTACATTATATTGATTGTATTAACGATTAATATTAACGCAATAATTTAATTGTCAAAAAAATTTAAATTTTTTTCAAATTTATTATTATTATTTTTTAAAATGTAACTTCCTTTATATGGAGGTCGTTTAAGAAGGGCCTCTATTATAAACATTATATAATTATAATAATAAAATTTAATTCAAAAATACTTTGCTGAATATCTTGAATTTTTTATTTAACGTTTGCAATTTAAAACTTTGTTTTATATATTTACTGATTCTTAGAGGTAATTTAAATTGTTTATTCTTCCCCGGAAATGGGTCATATTAATACCTGTTTTATAAACCAAAATAATATATACCTAATCTGAACTGCATATAATGAATAGTTGATGGGCTGTTTCTAGAACTCCAATATATACAATCTACAATAGGTCATGGGGCCACTGCAGTTTCAACCTTTTTGGACGATTATAAAGATGGGTGGTGCTTGATAGGAATTATACAAGAGGATTTGGATGATACGTAAGATTCTGGTGAAATTTGAAGAATTTTTCTGTGATATGGTCTAGGACAAATGGGATGTTGAGGTCATGATGTAGGGTTTTGTTGGTTACATTGAAAGGAACATACACTATTGTTCGAAGGACTTTTGACTAGAAGGATTGGATGCACTTGATGTTAGAAAATTTTGCTGTTCCTCACACTTCTAGTCCATAAGTTCAAATTGGTTTCAATATTGGCTAGTAAATCAGTAATTTGTTTTCAATAGAAAGTTTAGATTTTCTGTTTAATATTTCAGTATAGTTGGCCGTATCGTCGGTTAAACAATTTTAAAGAAATATATTTATATTTACAGATTTCTTCCAATTTCAATCTAAACTAAATTCAATGTTGTGCAGCCTCCTGATCTGATCTCCTAATTTAGATACTTTATTATAATACTACCAGTGGATAGATTCTATACAATTATTTTTATGCTATTGTATTTCTCTGTACCACATTTAATAGGTGTATATTTATTTTATACAGTTGTAAATTTCACAAATAAAATAAAAAATTTCAATCTTCTTCATATTGCTACTAATTCATATCCTCTTCTATATTTCCTTCATCTAAACAGTATGTGCCTTGGGTCTTCTGGCTCTTTACAGTTTTCAATTCTCTTATTTACTAGTACACCCATGGTTAGTCCACAGTCTTACAATCTGAACCACACTTGATAGCTAAAGTTGCAGATTCAGAGAATACCATGCTACAAGACTCATGGTTGGCTGTACCTGGAAATAGTCTCTCCATTTTGATAGTGACTCCCAGTGTGGACATTCTGTTACCACTGTATCATTTAATGATAAGAAAATATACCAAAGATGTATAAAATTAAAAACTACATTACTTAAGTATTATCTTATACTGTAAGAAATAATTAACCAGATAGGGCCTCTATCAATCCATAGTACACTTTATGAACCCTTTCAACGTTCTTCTCATCCTCAATATTTTATTTGTTTGTACATTCAATTCAAACAAATCACTTCAGCCTCCATCCCATATTAACCAACCAGTTCTGGAATCCATCTCTGATCTCAAAGCTGAACTCTGCCACTAATTCCTACTATTAGAAACTCTTCAGGATTATTTTAAAATAAATTGTGATTAGTTGGTATTAGATTTATGATTTTAATATAATAGGTTGGAAAACTTCAAAAACATCAATATTTAGAAGTGAACCACACTTTTAACCCACAAACTTTGTCCTAAAATAATTTGGTGGAATAATGTTATTTATTTTTTATTCAAATATTTTTAAAATATTGGAATCTTTCTTTGTTAATATTATTTTTTAAATAAGATTGTTTTTGGAGTTATTGTCACATAACAAACATCAAAAGGTTATTTTCAAATTATAAAATAATGTATATATTAAGAATAAATAATAAAAAAATTATATCAAACTCATAATGAAATCAACTAAATTATAGCTTCATTGGCAGTATGTAAAATTTTAAAGTATGTCCAAATCATTTGCAGCCAACCAATCCATCGTGCCAGATGGATCAGATTGTTTAATTTGAGAATAAAGATGTACAGGAAATAGCACCAATTATCTGGAGATTGCTGCATGCTTCATTCTGTTTCTAATGGAATTTAAAATCAAACCTTTTTTTCATGGCATTGACCAAAACTAAATACCATATACCTGAGAAACATTTTAAATAAAATATTTTTTTTTATTACACATTTAAAGAAGTAAAAAACAGAATCTATTGTTTGAACTTTTACTGTATTTTTAAAATACAAAGATTTATTTTAAATACACAAAATAAATTACCAAATTGAGTAATTGGTTTGCACGAGAATTCTGCCCTTGAGCTCGGAATTTTGTCCAGAGCATATGTGTTAAATTCTTAATACTAATGCCTTTTTCCATAAAATTGATTATTCTTAAAAATACTATCATAAATTAATACTTTCAGTATTTCTGATTTAAAATACTCTTCTCTGAAAAGATTTTAAATATTTTGTAATTAAAATACAATATATATTAAGAACAAAATATTTAATATTTTTACACTACATTTTAAAATATGTTTTGCTTAGGTCTGCTAAATTCTGAAACACTGTTGGCTACATTTGCTGATGACTCGGCAACATTAACATCTAACAAGGATGCAGCTAAGGCTTCTCAGGTACTTCAAGAACACCTAGACGACATAGCTTGTTGGGCTAAAAGGTGGAGAATAAAAATGAACGAGTCTAAGAGCCAATTTGTTTCATTTACACTTAGCATGACTCTTGTCCTCCAGTGTTATTTAATAATATCGCTCTACCACCTTCAAAAACTGTACGATATTTGGGTCTCCACTTGGACAAACGACTGACATGGACATACCACATATAACAAAAAGGAAAAGAATTTAATCAGCGATACGGACTTCTTTCTAGGCTACTTGACAGACATTCTAAATTATCTGTGACTAATAAACTAACTATTTACAAAGTCCTCATTAAACCACTTTGGACATATGGGATCGAACTATGGGGAACAGCAAAGAAATCAAAAATAAAAATCATCTAGTCATTCCAGTCAAAAGTCCTTCGGAAAATTGTAGACGCACCCTTTTATGTTTCAAACCTCACGTTACACACTGACCTTAACATTCCTTTCACCACGGCAACTGCCACTGACCGCTTCAATAACTTTCATGACAGACTGACTCTAAATTCCAATCCACTTACTCAAGCTCTATCTACTGCCACAAATCCATATAATCCGCCAAGAAGACTGCTGAGGCGCTGGCCAAGAGACTTATTGCCTTGAGCTACTTGCTGCATTATATCTTTTTTTTGTGTTTGTTATTATGTATGTGTTATTTTACTACTGTTTTTTTTTTTTTGGGGGGGGGGGGGGTCTTTTTGTTTTGTTATTACTATTATTTTTTTTTATGCTATCATTTCTTCTCCTTGATATCATATTTGCTGAATACCGAGGTAGATGGCAAATTTATTGTGAGCCACGAATATGTATAACTAATAAATAAATAAATAAAAGGTCTGCTAAAGACCACTATATACACTATAGTTATTCTGCAGGAATAAGGTAATTTATTGTATGCCAAAATATAATTCTATAATATTGAGTTTTATTTTTGCCATCTCTATCATCTAAATCTTTACTATTCCATATAGGTATATACAATAATCTTATTTCAAAATAATCATTGCTTTCAATAATCCACTCACTCTCTTAATTTTTAGGGACATATTTGCCACACACTTATTCGAAACTTAACAGTAAAATAGTGTCAAACATTAAGATTAAAATTTTTAAAACAGCCAGTAACGGTTTAAATAGTCCATAGTTTTGCGTCCAAACTGAGTTTGACATTAGATACATGAAAACAACACTGAAATTTATTCATGAACATTAGTAACGAAAAGACCATCCTGGAAATAAATATTTCATCGCATTCTTACAACATGGATTCTTTTAATAGAAATAGCAAAATATATTAATCTCCACAACTGTACAATCGTCAGCTTTTAAAATGAATTCACGGTTCGAAAATGCAAATTGAAAAATTATCACGAAACAACAGTTGTCACCATTAAAAACTGTTTTAAAGAGAAAGATTATTCTGTTATAATAGTTTTTCAGATAACTATAGATATTTTTAGTTAATAATAAGAAAGAAAAAATGAAAAGAATTATGTAAAACTACGCGTACGCAAGCCTAACCTATCCGACTTTCTCCAACATTGGTGGATTGGTCACAGCTGATAATAGGAAAGACCTGGATATCAGCTGTTATGACACATGAAAATAGGTAGTGGGGGTACTACCTACTAAGGTAGTTTATTAGTAGCTTAACAAATGTATTAGTTTTTATACTTAGCCTGCCCAGCGGTGACAATAAATTTCATTTTTAATGCGTTTTGATTAATTAGAGCCATTACATGATAGTGCTCTAAATTGTCATTATCGATTTTAAAGAAATTTCAGGTTGCAAGTGAAAATTTAATACATTGAAAATTCTCTTCGATTTCAAAATTTTTTAAAATTTTGTCCGTTTGCGAAGTGAAGTGTGAATTTTAATTTTTTGTTCAGTGGTGTAAACATCTGTCAATATATTATCTCACTGGAAAAAATATAAAAAATATGATCAGAAGTTATGAAAAGAACAAGTTTATTCCAGAAAACTTTGTGTTTTCATTGAGATATTTGTAGAAAGAGAATACTGTAAAGCATCTGGTTACAGGAATAAGTATCATGTTAGCTATAGTATCTTCAAGTCATCGCAATGAGCCTGACACTCTTCTTAGTCAGTGTTTTAAATATGTTGTTAGGAACTTAGATTCAGTGTTTTATCAAGATCCTGCTACAAATGGATATGAGTTGATGCCTGGCCAAGCTCTTCCTAGAGAGATATGTGAAGCTCTGATAAAGGAATATCAACTTAATGGATTTCAAGTCAATGATAAGTTTATTCGACTGTTCAAAAATACCAACAATACAAGTCTTCGCCATGTGAGAATACGTAACTCCGCAATAACTGATGATGGGTTCAAAACCATTCTTAAACACCATCTGGTTGAATTGGATATCTCAAAATGCCAAATGATTACAGATCAGTCACTTCATACTCTAAATGAATACAGTGACAGATTAGTTTCTCTTGTTGTTGGTAATGGTGTGCAACTTCTGCCAGAGTCGTTGCTCTATACAGCTCAAAATCATAGTTGGTCAAATCAGACTACTACTCCGCAGTCATTTGAAGATAGAGGATTCATCTTGAGAGCCCCCAATTTACGTCGCCTTACGATTCGTAACATATACATCCACAGAGAGAAGAAATACTTCCCTTTGCTTCTCAATTCATTTCCTAATCTTACTGTGTTAGATCTTTCAGGATGTAGTGATGTTGAAAATTTGGAGTATATTACTAAACTTACCAACTTAATATCTCTTACCTTACACAATGTGTACAAAATTCAAGATTCGTTGCCGTACATATGCCAGTTAAAGAAGCTTGTGTAAGTATACTTTATGTTGTGAATTCAAAAAATAGTATTAGGATATTATGTTTTGGAAATCAGTGTACAACCCTATTAATGTCTATATTAATCAGGTTATAAATTAATATGAGAGTAATCTTGTTAACAGCATTCTATTTTAAAGAAATGTTGTCGACAAAGTGATCCAAAAGTTTATTAAAATAAGTTGAGAATAAAGTAATGGAAGTTTGATGGATTGCACATGAATTTCCTGAATACAATATATTAGTGTTTCATTGAGGAAAATAAAAGAAGAAAAGAAATGTAGTATTAGTTTTCATGATATTTTTATTTGTTTGAAAACTCTATTATTAGTCGAAAATACATGAAGTAAATTGGTTAGGAACATGTTTTATCAGCAACCATAGATAGGTTATTTACATAAAAATATTGTCTGATTTTATGTCAGAGATCTCTATTTTCTCAAAAATAGTTCTTTCTATAAATTAAAACTGTCATTTTCAAAGAGTATTTTAAAAATTACTCAGGTATAATCCATCCCCTCCCCTTTTTTAATATTGACAACTATAAATAAACAAAGAAAAAAGTATTTTGTTTGTTTTTATGAAGTTTATTTTAAGTAAAATTTTTCTAATTTGTCTTGCATTAGGTACATTATCTTACTTTTTTACAATGGATTGTATTTGTTTTTTTTTATTTATTATAATGATACTATCCAAAAAGAAGTCATTTTAAAACTAGCTAAGCTAATTCAGATTAGCTCATGTCATTGTCAATGAAAATATGAAGTACATAACAATTGCTCTTAACACTTTGTTTACATATTAGCTAATTGATACTTGAAAGTGTGAAAATTCAATATATTTTATTACAAAATGATCTATCTTTTAAAAAAGCTGTTCAAACAAGCCGCTTATGTTTACTTTATATTTCAATCCTCCAGAAAGTAAACATTAGCTGCTAGTTTATTGATTATTGTCTGATGAACTAGGATTTATTATTAATCATTTATTGCAAACTGTTAGTACTGTCTTGTGAATAATACAAAATTGTAATATTTATGTTACTATCGAATAATTAATAGAGCAAGTGCCAATAACAATAATCACAAATCAGTTATTATCCCCTATATCAGATTTGTTTTGAATTGTCCTGATTATGGGATTCATCAAATCATAATAAGTTTTACGTGTCATGGATTTTTAAAATATATTTATACATATATCTTAATTTTATATATTTAGTTTTATTCATTGTAGGTTATATATAATTTTTTTTTCTTTATAAAAAGGAGGCACTACTTCAGTAGGGAGACTAATTGTTTTGATACTTCTTATCAGAACTGAATAGGGCTGTATATTTAAGAAATAAAAGTGATTTCATTGAGATCTTTCAAATCACCATTGAAAAAATGGTTATGATGTTTAGATAATTTTTGTTTGCCTATTCATTAAAATCAGAAGCTAAAAAAAAAGAATAGGTTATAAATTGAAAAATTGTTTGGAATGACCATTTCTAGCCAGTTTGATAAGTACTACTTAAGCATGTTTCATTTACATGTTTTAGATTGCTTTATTGTTAAAATTTATTTTGTAAATATCTTAGTGTCAATGTTGTAATACAGATTTAAAAGCTAAAATATCTATATTGTATTTAAATTTTTTTATGAATCACCCGGTAATAAAACATAACATTTAACAATTTTTGTGAATTAAAGTTTTTGCCAAAACCGCAAATTTTAAATTTTGTTTAATAGATAATTAATAAAAAGAAATCTAGGAAATTAATTTTTTTTAATAATAAAGTTGGTATTAAGATACGTGATTGCTAGATGAAAGTTATAAAATTCAGTTTTAAAAATTTTGTTTTAAAAGGATTATTCATCATTGAAATGTGTTGTGGGTGTATTGTGGTATTTTAATCTTATTCAATTGTGGCTAATATTAAAAATTAAATAATGATCCCAATAAAAATGAATAACCATTATAAAGTTTTTTATCATGAAAAAAAAAATTTATTTTTATCTTTAATAAAAATTAGTAATTTATCAAATAACAATTAATTTATTTGAAAAACAGAAAATGCAATTATCTTTTTATATTAAATCCACCTTTGTTTTCAATATTAATTAATTAGTTCAATTCGAATGAAATATTTACTATTATTTATAAACCTACCTCTTGAATCACGAAAGTTATTCGATAATCCATTTATAATCAATAGCTTCCCTACAAAATCTTTTTTTTACTGATTAATTTTTCACTTTCGTCTGAATTCAAAAGTTATAACAATTATTGACATCAAAACCTTAATTAGATAATTGAATATTAATGAAATTAATATTAAATAATAGTCATTTAATGTAAATTCATGTGATTGTTTTTATATTATCTAATTAATGTTAAAAGCATTATGATTATTTTTGAGTTAGCAGAACAATTTCATAATATTACTTTTCTGTTTTTTAGGATGTTACAGTAGTGCAATACTTAACACATATTATATGCAAATTCATCAAAATGTTTTATATGTGGTTGATCATCTAATTATAAATGTTTAGTTTTTGGATATTTACAACTTATTTTGTCAAAAATAGTGTGGTTTATTCTGTTTTTATTTCCAATTTCACATTCTCCTATTTGTTATAAATAAGTGAGTTTTCAATTTTTTGTTCCCTTTTTAAAATCTTTTGAAGTAACATTGTTTACAAATTATAATAAAGTTTCTCTGTATGGGTCATTTTAAACTTTCAGGCATCAACACCTTAAATATATATATATAGGAATTGTTTTTTATAATCATCAAAACGATCATAGATACGTTATATTGAAAAAAAAAAATAATACCATTATTTTTTCTGTTAAGAGTATGGACTGTGTCAACACCACATTATAATAATGTAATTTTCTAGATTTGTATAAATAATTACATTGTCCAGTTTTGTTACATTTGACTTAATTGGAACATTGAACTAAACTAAATTATAGTAAGGGAAAGTATTGCGATCAAGAAAATTTTTGAATCCGAATTTTCAACGGAAATATACATTTTGAGGTCCAGGTCCCCTGAGTCTAAATAATCAAGTCTCAAAAAATGGTCTGTGTGTTTGTCTCTGAATAGTCGAGGTCTTATCTATCGCTATATATATATATATATATATATATATATATATATATATATATATATATATATATAGCGGAATCTTAACTCTGCAAACCTGTTCCACCAACGAGTGATATGATATGTTTCATCCTCCTGGCCACAGATTCTACAAAAAGGTGACTCCGTTAGCCGGAGTTTGAACATATGATAATTCAGTTTACAGTGACCATTATATATCGCTGTAATGTATTTGAGAGAGCTCATGTTCAAGTTAATTAGTAGATTGCTTCTCTTTGCACAGAATCCATTGAGGAACAATCTTGAGTGAGTCTGTTTTTTCAAGCTCTAGTACATCTTAGCTTCAGCACCATATATCTCTCCTATTCTGTTATTGATTAGACACATGCTAATGCCGCAGATAGGTTTGTGTGTTAATTGAGTTGTTTGTGATTCTTTTTTAGCTAATTCATCTGTCATCTCATTTCGATTAATACCAGAGTGTCCTGGTACCCATTCAATGGTTATGTTATTAAATCTAAATAAATTGTTAAGAATTATTTTGACAGTTACACAACACCGATTTGCGTGAACTGTTTCCAATTAATATAATTAAGGTTATTACATTGGTGGCCTTAGTAATAAAAGAATTCCTATAAGGTTAATATTTACGGTGTCAACTGGTAAATGTGTGTGTGGTAAGTAAAGGTAGGAGGATTGCCTGAGGATTAAGGCTGATCTGGCTGGGTTGGGTTTGAACGGTTACTGGTGGAGGGAGGTGTGTAGACAGAGATTGGGCGTGTCGGCATTGAGCCTTTAGTTTGCTAAGCCTTTTATTATTATTATTCTTAATAATATGGCTTGAATATTGCTAAAAATGTAAATATTGTCCCAGAAGTAGTATATTACATTTTAAAATTATTGTATATTTATTTTTTTTACATGAAGGCATTTGGACATCTCGCAATCCAATGAAAAAATGGGTTTGTATCAGAAGGAGAATGAAGCTCTTGAATACATCGTTACAAACCTACCATGTCTTGAGGCTTTGGATATTTCGGGTACTAACTTGGCCGGAACAGGTAACTAAAAAAAATTTCTTTCAATTGAACTTGTTTTAAAATACTATAAATAATGTATTGTGTGTATCTAATGAATATTTTAAGTAATATTATAAATTGGTTCTTGATCATTTTTTTGAAAATTGACTTTCTTTTGTAATTATAAATTTTCATTAAAGTATCAGAATAATATACTCCATCTCCCACTGTTTAAAACATTTTTTCTTTCCATCAATTCAAAATCCTATCTTTGATTTCCAATTATTATGTTAAAACTATCAGAGCAAACACAATTGTTATCCATCCCTCAAATACAGATAAGAAGAAAATTCTATATACGCTCAAAAAATTAATTAAGTCTATATTGCTTCTTATTTTTTAATTTACAAAAATGTTTTATTCTGAAAGAGTTTAGGGTGTTAATAATATTTTGTTACAAAATATTTTATAACAAACTTTATCTTATAGAAATTTGTACTTATTACTAAATATACTTAAAATATGATTTTTAAGTTTAATTAATGCATTGTTTTAACCTCTATTTTATTTTTGTCAATAAAAAAAACAAAAATGAATCCTCTCCTTCAAAATTTGAAGTTTTATATTTCAATACATTGAATCTAAAAATGTATTTTTAAAAAGAAATCTTTTCTTCTTAAATTTTTATTAGAGACTAATAGGCCAATTGTTTAGAGATCTGGCACCAAAGTCGCAAGTCACTTCAGAATGATCCTCAAAACTCGACATTACCATTCATGTTTATGTTTCGAAATTGTGAACGATTAGAGATTCCATAAGCTCTCTGTCATTTATGAAGACAGACGAAAAATAAAATATATTCTAAATCATTATATTAAATTAAAGACTTAAAATCATTATATTAAATTAAAGACTTAAAAAAATCTTGTGAACCTAATCCCGTGAAATTTTGTTACTCTTTTGTTTCGGGAATTCTATGTATAATAATTAAATAATTATAAATATGTAATTTTTTTTTTTTTTTGCCGATGTTTCGTCCCAAAAATTCAGTCCTTCATCAGGGCTAAGGAAAAACCAGATGTTATGGGAAACTATGAACATTAAAAAGAAATTAATAATAAGTAGGTGAAAGATATAGTCTAAAAAATGTAGGCACTTTAGTTTATTCTACCTACATTTTTTAGTCTATACTTTTCACCTACATATTATTATTTTCTTTTTAATGTTAATAGTTTCACATACCCATTGTTATCTGTTTTTTTCTTAGTCTTGATGAAGGCCTGAACTTCGGGCTGAAATGTCGGCAAAAATAAATATAGTTTATTTATTTTTACATTTTTTTAATCTTTTTTTTTTTATTGAATATCCCAACAAATCTTCTCTTTGATTATTCACTACAGTCAACCATCAACCCACAATCTATGTATAATACTTTTTTTTCTTCTCTTTTCTCTCTTTCTTATAAATAACATTTGTTCTAGGTAAATTACTACATTTTTCAGATATGTTTTGTTAATTTTTTTAATTATTTGCAATTTCTGTGTAGGTGTTGCCGAACAGAAGTTGGGTGGCACTACAGTTGGTACCGACATTCCTGGCCTAGTCTCAAGGGTCAACAGGCCACTTGAGTTCTTAGGACTTTACGGTACCAGCCATGGAGCTTGCCGCAGACATGATATACCAGCCAAAAGGGTAATGTCGTCTTCGTTAATTTTATTTTGTATTATTAATTTGATACTTTTATGTTCCAAAAGAACCAGAAATTTTCATTATCAATACCAGTTGATTTCATTATTTTCAGTGCCGAACTATATGCCATTCTTAACACCATAATATATAGCGAAAACACATATATCAACAAAAAATAGTTATTCTGACACTCAGCAACTGCATGTAAACACCTAAAATTAATCTACCAAAATAAAGCACTGACACACATTTCCTTTAAAATCATATCACTAATATACAACGCCAGCAACAATTACTTTTTCCATTGGGTGCCAGGACACGTAGGAACATCAGGAAATGAAATTGCAGACAAAACAGCAGATCAAAACCAACTACATCAAATAAACGCGAAGGTCCCTTTACTGGATTTGAAAAGAGTAGTAAGGGGGAAAATAATGAAAGACTGGCAGCATTTCTACGACTGGGAATGTGCCTCGAAGGGTAAGGACCATCATGCAGTTCAACAGGAGATAGCACTGATTCCATGTTTTGTGACCCTTAAATCTCATCTCGACCGCTCCAGCTTAGTAAAGCTGACCAGGCTTAGGATAAATCATGGTAGAACTAATAAATATCTACATCTAATGGGTATAGCTAAGAGCGGTCACTTCCTAACATGCCAATGCTTGGAGGATCCAAGACACATTGCCTTCAAGTACAAAGCGACGAAGAATTAGTTTAGGATCGCAAACTACAGATGATGGAGCTAACTTTCTTAGGTCGATGAGCAAAGATAACACCTGTGACTTGATAAAGTTCATGAATGACATCAAAGCAGTCATATAATAAAAGTCGGCACTTATTCTCAGTTAATTGTAATTCTAATTCATCTCAGTTTTTAACCATTAGTCTTTCTAGTTTCCATAATATCTAATATCTAATAATATAATATCTAACATCCAAGTCCCATACAAGTTACTTTCAGTTATCATCTAACTATAAATAATTAATATAAATCCAGTGTAATTTCCGTCTAAAAACCGTAATTTCATCTCACTATGACAAATAAAATATTTAACTGGCAACATAGGACTTGCTTTTACAAGTCTTAAAGCCAAAAAACAAAAAAAAAAAAAACTGTTATGTTAATGTCTCAAATAATGATGTATTAATAACTGATGATTCAGTTGTCACTCTCTTAATTTCTAGCCTATGATTCATTAATTTAGGATTTTATATTACCTATACTCAGCCATGTATTGCTGTAGCTGTCTGGTTAAATAGAAAATAAAGAATGAGAAAGACTATATTTCTTATATTTTTAATTTCACAATACTACCTAAAATTGCTGAAAATTATTCACCTGTTTCTTTGAAATGTTAACACAACCTTGCATTCAAATACGCCCATGCTCTTATATACCTATGATCATAAGATGTTATAGGTAAAAATTAGATTTTTTAAAAAAATTACGATGCTATCTCAATGTTTCTGATTTATGATTATTTTGTGTGATGAAGTATTGAAATTGAGCTTTGTCATATCATGAAGAATCAGAAGTATCCATCCACTCCCTACTGAGAGATGGTGCATGCCCTCCTTCCAAGAAATTTTATTTTTCTCTACTTCTTAAAAACGATGCTAGTGAATGTAGTATTATAGAAATATCATAACAACATCAAATATAAATGTTTTAGTTTACATTTTGGCTTGTTCCCTCGTTTGAATGTTCCCAAAATTACAAAACTATGGTTCTATATAAAAATTCATAACCGTACAATAATCAAACGATAAGGTAATATCAATATACTTTGATTTTCAGATAATCTGGTATGGAATATTGTGTAAATTTAGATAGGACAAAGTAATATAGGTGCAATAACGGTCTTGATTCCTATATTGATATATACTATTATGTTTAAAAAACATTTATTTAATAAAGAATCGTCTCCCCTTTTGACTCTATTATTATTATTTTTTTAAATATTTCTCAAATTACTACATTGTTAATTGAAAAAGCTATCTCTAACTGAAAAACTTCTTCTTTTTTATTTCTAGATATCAGGAGATGCCAATGAAAAACAAATATTAATCGCTGCTGCTTCTTACCTGGAAAGACCTGATATACTACAGAGGGTTCTCAATGACCTCTATCAGCTGTTCAGGTACGAGAGCTGCCAAAATATCAAGATGGCACTTGCAGTAGTTCTGGAAGCAATGGACCGGCATTTGACGACAAAGCATATTCAGATCTCTGGAAGGTTATTATCTACACTTTTTTTAAATTTTATTTATTGATGTAACATAATTCATCTAATGATGTCTAATATTCATTAATTATAAGCCTGGTCATATATGAATGTCAGTTTAAGCATACTGGAAATATTAAATGTTTTGTGATTAACATTTATTAAAAGAGTAATTAAAATATAATGATAGTATCAAATGTAAATTTTTGACTCATGTTTTAATAATCACTGTATAAAAATTATGTTTTTAAAGGTTATCCATAGAATGTTATGTTTAAGAAATGAAATGGTAGAACTTCTGTTATCTCGTTTCTTTTAGCTTCTGACTCTCTCTTTTCCTTTTCTGTTATTGCATTGTGTGTGAAGAGGATGGGAATCAGGTAGGATGATATAAAAGATGGGCAAGTTTTATAACTTAATTGACTTTAGCAAATAAGATCAACCCTCAGATGCTTAGAAGGATGTTCCACACTATAAGTTTCGACTCCCAGAAGTGTGAAGGAATATCATTGAGAGAGTAGAGGATAACAGAAAGGTAAGGATTTTCTCACTCAGAGATCAACTAGAAAATTAAAGGCAATAAAAACAAACTTTGTGTCGATCTAGTTTCCTGAATTAGAGCCTACTTTTATAGCACTGGAGTTTTAAAATGTTAGTGAGAAGTGTCCTGAAATCTGAATCTAAATTTTGTATACACATAATGAGGAGTTGGTCAGAGGTAGGGTGGGGGAGGTAGAGTGCGGTCAAATAAATGCTATATATTAAAATAGTATTTTATTGTTTACGCCGACGTTTCAACCCACTATGTAGGTGTTCGTCAGGGGTGGGCGGGGTGGCCGAACGGGCTAACGTGCACAGCACCACCGTTGCCCGGCAACCTGATCTATGAGACAATGGATTTAAAATAGTCACGAGTTCGTGTTCCGTTGCCGGGGGAGTCTTTTAAATCCCTGCCCACATCTTCTGGACCGGGAAAAACCCCATATAGCCTTAAAAGTGAGGAAGGAGAGGACAGGGGAAAAAAAAAATAATAAATAAAAAAAAAAGTGTTCGTCAGTGCTACAATATATTTAATATCTACTAATATTCATTTAATTTATTTTTACTGTATACCTTTTTATATTTTGTAGTCCTGATGAAGATCTACAAAGTGGTTCCAAACGTCGGTATAAACAATAAAATACTATTTTAATATATAGCATTTATTTGACCGCACCTCGCTCTTGAGACTGTTGAGTATGACAGTCTATGCTGTTTTAGAAAGATCAAAAGCCACACTGACAAGAACCACAGGAATTAACGTCACCACTGAGGTAGAGTTTCCTCTGTCTGTGAGTTAGCAGAACTTCCCGCTGTTCAACTAATTCATTTATTGCTGGAAGAGGGCAGAAGGAGAAGAGGACCGTTGTCGAAAAGACTGCCAGGATATGGACATTACAATCATGTTGGAAACTTAATAATTAAAACAAGCTAGCTATGAGCTATTAATTGTATGTAAGTGAATGCTGATAATTGTAGTGTGTTGTTAAGCATTCAGGTTAACATCTCACTGGTACACAGAGATACATACCCATATTTACGTTTAATGAATTGCTCAGTCGGCTTTATCTTCGGGACCTCAAGGGATACGCATATTACCCAGTTCTACCTCAAGTTGAAGTGGCTTTTTCCGTCCTACCACCGTAAATATTTCCTTGCTACCTTCCTATACCAAGCCATTAGAACACGGCGACCTGCCTATATTCTACAGATCCTACAACTCAAACTCTCCTTTCAATCCCGTCCCACCAGATCCCGTGCGTCCAACCTCTATCCTCCTCCTCACCGAACTGCTGTGTTTGATAAATCCTTTTTAATACAAGTTGTCTCCCTCTGGAACTCTATACCTTCAGATATTCGACTCGCAAAATCCAAATCCTATTTCAAATCTCTCCTCTTCAAACACCTACTGCATTCCCAATCCGATTGATCACGAAATGCACTTAAAAATCTAAGCTGTAAAAACCCCAAAGTACACCCAGAGACACTGATTACTTTGTGATTCATCGATATTTCGTTTACTTAATTACTTTCTCAGTATATTTTATATTTACATGTATTTATATCTTATAACTTTATTGTATTCCTAATCAACCTATAAATATTAAACTGTATTAATATTAACACTAAAATATTAATATATATTCTGTATTTGTAACTTGTTCTAAAGGGACACTAGTCCCAGAATAATAAAATTATTTTCATTCATTCATTCATTGATGTACTGGCATGGGAGGGTGGAAAACAAATATTAGATTGTATCACAATTAATCGTATTATCATAGACAGGTAGAGCCTAGTAAATTCAGATATATTTAAAAACTTTGGATTTATAATTATACCTTGCAACTTGAGTCACTTTCATCTAGAAAGTATTTTTGAAACCTCAGAGATCGGTTAATCTCAAAACTCATTTTAAAATTGTTACGGTATATAAATATGAGACATATTAAGATGATTTTTTTTTTTTTTTTTCAGTGCAACATTATTTTACATAGTTAAGAACAAGGACATACCAATAATGTTGAGTTGTCGTATAAAAAGGGCTATCGTAACTACTCTCCTCAACGGAATGAATTCGCATAAAAATGATGATACCATGATGAGGAATGGTTGTCTTACACTGTGTCAGTTCAAAATACCACATGATGTTGTAAGTATTTTTTGTGTAATATTTCTATTATGAAACTTTAGTACTTTTTGTCTAGCTTACATATGCAACTATAGATAAATAGTATCTGAACTAGTCCAGAGGAACTATGGACCGGGTTAGACCGAGCTAGCGAGGGGATAAATCTTTACCGCTCCAATTTTAAGTATAACTTTAATACTTAAACCTCACGGGCCGGGCTGAAACCTCACTTCTTATCTAACATCACGTCACATAACCTCCCTCTTCTTATCTCGCAAAACCTTTGAATTATTGCATTGTTTAGTTTTCAGTTATTCCCTTATTACGTTCACTTATTAAATTCTTTACTTTTGGCCCCTTTGTGTTTATTTTTCATTTTTTTTCCGTTTATTTTCGTCATATTATGGGATTTGCCGCCTTCAGAAGAACAGGCAATTCAATATTTCCAAATGTTGGGGTACTTGCCGACGTGAAATTGTGTGGACGAGGTCATCGAATGAAGTTAACCAGGAAGGCCAAATGGAGATGCTTTCATAGGACTTATGACACAAAACTTTCAATAAGGAAAGGAACATGGTTGGAGGGCTCGAGGATTTCGTTTTTAACAGCTTTAAAATTGATTTATGTGTGGTCCCATAGCTTGACAACGATGAAGTGGGGCAAAGAGCAGCTGAAACTATCCTACGGAGCTATGGTAACGTGGAACAAATGTCTAAGAGAGGTTTTTGCCCATGACCTGTTATACAGACCTAGAAAAAAAATTGGAGGACCTGGCAAAGTGGTTGAAGTAGACGACAGTCTTTTTTCCAAACGAAAAAATCATGTGGGGAGAGTTTCACATCAGCAGTGGATGTTTGCCGAGAAACAGATGAATGTTTTATCTTTTTATAAAACAGATTTTATGTTTTATATTTTTTCTTTTCTATGTAAATATGTTCTTTTAAATGTGTTTTTTTATTATTTCATTTTAATGTTTTGTATGTACATATCATCTTAAAGTGTTTTTTTATTATTTCATTAATATATGTGTCGTCAAATAAATTTTTTTTTTGTTATTACATTTGTTTTTGTGTCTGTTTACACTTTCAATAATACGAATTTAATACAAAGATATGAAGTAGGATAAGGCTTATCACTACGTTATAGGAGTTATCATTGTTCAGGTTATAAACATTGGCAGATAGCAGTCAGTAGCGGCCCCCTAGACAAAAAGTACCAAACATTTTATGCTGTAAGACTATAATGTATTATATTCAGCAGCCTGTTTGATAAATTTGATTTAATGTTTGGCTGAAGTTGAGAAATTGTTTTACTCTATTAAGGGAGTTATCGAAATAGAGTAATGTTGATTGCTCGTTTAAGGTTTTTTTTTTATATTGCAGGGAAGAAGCAAATATCCTGTAGAATTGCTTTGATAAATATTTAATTATTTTAGCTGTGTTTTGTTCTGTAATTTTGGTTTCTTATATTAACTTTTTCTTTTTATTCTCATTCTCAATCATGTTTGACTATTATTATGTTTTTTTCTCTTTACATTTAAAGGTTTAATTATTAATTACATGAAATAATTATTAATTCCTCATCTATAAGATTTAAATAAGCTGTACTTTAAATATATTACTTGAATATCAATTCAAAATTCACTTATATAAATTTTATTCTACTGTTTTCTACAATAAGAATGTTGTCTTGCAGGAATCTTCCATTAGACCAGGCCTGTCTACTTCTTTTATTTTAGTATTCTCCTCATTTTCCGTTTTATCGTTACTTTTTTTTTTTCAATATCTCCACCTCTGTTTTGTGTATATTGATGCATTTACTCATCACATCTTATTTACATTATTTTTATTTTTTATTCTTTTTTTTTAATTCTAATTCTCTTCTATGTAGTCAGTATGTTTTGATAGATTTTACAATATCTTGATTTTTCTATTTACATCTATTATTTCCTTTATACAACTTCATATTCCTTTTCTCTGTTTTATTCTATGTCAATATTATTTCCTTTTTGCAAACTAAGGCATCATATTTTTGCAACAACGTCGCCCCATTTATTCTATGTCTAACATTTATGTTTTCCTTTCATATATTCCATTCCATTTCATTGTTAATTGATTTTTCATTTCTTATGTTTATTTCATTAGTCCCCCCTGACTTTGTTTCCGTTATTATTTATTTTATAGTTCTCTATTACTGTTATTATTTTATTCACAACTTCCTAACTTTTTTACTGTTATGTTATGTATCCTAACTTTGTTTCCGCTACTTTCTATTCCTAAGTTTGTTATCGTTATTTTATATTTATTTTCAGTTTATTCTACCTATTTTATTTTACTTTAAGTTTATTCTACCTTCATGTTTTAATCTATACCTTTCACCTACGTATTATTATTCTCTTCTTTAATTTTAATAGTTTCTCATACCCACTGTTATCTTGATTTTTTTCTTAACTCTGATGAAGGCCTGAACTTAGGCCGAAACGTCAGCAAAAATAAAAATAAATTTTATTTATTTATTTTTACTGGACACCTCAACCAATCTTCTCTTCAATTATTCACTACAGTCAATCGTCAGTCTACAATTACATAAATTTTAATGTTTCAGTTGTTTGAGTACAAGCGACTGGTGGGTATCCTCCTTCATATTGTCTCGGAAATGGAACAGGAAGGTTTCGTTCAACGCCTGGGCACTTACCTGCTCAACTCGCTAGCGTGTCAAGTTGACGGTCCTCAGAAACAAATGCTTGGTGATCTCGGAGCTGTTAATGTGAGTTATATGCTCTATTTTTTTTTTTTTTTTAAATCAGTTATGTAATTTATTAATTTTATATTTTATCATAAACTTAAGTAATACAATAATAAAAATGAATATATTAACTCCATCTGTTCAGCCTTTTTCTTCATCACTACCGAACGTAGGGAAGCTTTGTATTCGTACAAGAGGTTAAAAAATTTGGTTCGGTGTATGTCTGTCTGTCTGTATTCAAATCAATGTAACGGACATATCTCATATTATTGTTTATCTGATTTTATAAAATTCCATCCAGCACTTCCGCTTGTGCACGCGTAAATGTATTTTCTTAGATAAACCAGTATTTCAGAAATAGCTTGTTCGATTTGGCTCAAAGTTGAAAGAATAGTGGATTTTGGTAAAATAATAATTTTCTATTGATTTTATTGAATTTCCTCCTTTACTTTTTCTTATATAGTGAGCCATCAAAATTTTTGAGGGAGGCACATTTTGATGGAGTTTTTAATTTTTAGAGGGGCACATTTTGGCGGTGTTATGAATTTTTTAAATGAAAAGTTTCAAACCAGGGAAACAAGAAGAAACCACAGAGCTGACCACTGAAAGTGTAATTGTATATGACCTATGATTTTTAAAATTCTACTTGAGCTTGCACTGTTATTAAGAAGAGGAGAGCAATAAAATATATTGGGAGGAGGGGAGAAGTTCATGCGCCATCCACCTTATGGGAGGAAGGGCACCCCCTGAACCCAGGACTTATTAGAAAAAAATATTTTCAAACATTTTGAAAACTTTATTCCAAAAAAGTTTCATCAAACCTTTTTATAAAGTTTCAAGCTCTGTTCATGCCTATTGAAATTTATCATATTAAAGAAAATAATAATAATAAAAAAAAGTATCGCTTCAACCCTTGAAGGGTCTTTGGTTGGGTTCAGCGCTATATAAGCAAGTACATTTTCTAGACCAGCTGTTGTAGGGGAAAGTGCTTTCGCTCAAATCACACTCAACCGCCAGGTTTTTCTTCACTTTATAGAGGCTGGATATGACCCAGGAAGGTCTTTCGAACCCATGGTCAATCCTCTGCCGATGAAATAGAATAAATAGTTATTTGCTACACAACTCCGACCACAATAACATTGTGGTAATTTATTACATTATCCAGTATGGTTCAATTAACCTAACAAATATTATAAATAAAGTTAACGTTAATTTGCTTTAGTGCTTAAGAATCTAAAAAATATGCCAGTTACTGTTTTTAATCAAATCGTAATATAAATTGATCTGAATTTTATATTTTGCTGTTTAAAGTTACTAAATAATAGATTATCATTTAGTATATTTCATATAATTATTGGCTTATTAATGATGTGAGTATGTTTTTTTATAGAGGATGTTGGTAATTATTGACGACCGTATTTCTCGTAAAGTATGTGATGATGTCCTTGAAGTCGCCTGGTCAACCATGTGGAATGTTACGGATGAAACAGCTATTAATTGCCAAAGGTTCCTAGATGGAAAAGGAATGAACTATTTCCTCGGCTGTCTTCAGGTATCGTATAGGTTCAAAACATACATATTTATATATTACTTTGCGATATTAATTTTTGCATCCTCATAATGGAAAGTAGGGAAGCTTTGTATTTATGTGGGAGAGTAAAATACAATTTTGTTCTCAAAATTAAAATTTCTATTTGCAAAATGCATTTTAGAAGTTAAGGTACAAATTTATTTTTGTGTCTGTTTGTAGTCAAATACTTGTGAGGAACATAACATCTCCTACCGTTTAACATGATTATGAATTTTTTATGAATTATGTGGGTCGGTCGATACCTTGGTGATTCTTTATCAAATTCTATCCATTATTTACGCTAACCCATACACATAAATATTTTTCATGATTACGCCTGTATTTCAAAAATGGTACGTACTATTTGACTCAAAGTTGGGGAGTAAAAAATAAAAGAAAAAAAAACAATGGAACTGTAGCTATTTTATCAAATTACATTTATTAATTAAAATCAATGTGCATACTTGTTTAGAATACAATGGTTGTGAACATATTGAAAGGGATATATTTATTCTACTGATATATGAGGTTATAAGTTTTGAAGTGCATGGCTTTCTGTAGTCGAATCCTTGTGAAAGACTTAACAAATATTGACGGTAATTCAATCTCTGTGAGGGTTGATACCAATATGGTCCAGTATTGATTTTCATTCAAATTCTTTCGGTTAGGAGTGCATTTTTTCTTGAAATGGCTATATTAGAAAACGGCTCCCATAGATTTTATCTTCAAATTGACGGACTGCAAGTGACGGAACTTGGAATATAGTTAGATTAAGTAACTGATAGAAATGATGATGATGCTATTCTGACCCTACTTGACAGATGTTTTAATATTTAAAAAAAATAATAATGGTTGATATAATAAATGAAGGAAAGGAACATATTAATTTAATATTTATAATAGTATAATATAGCACAATACTGACAAAAAAATTGTGTAGTTGTTCCCAGATAAAGATGAACTGATGCGGAATATGATGGGACTACTCGGTAACGTTGCTGAGGTGAAATACCTTCGCCCAAGATTAATGACTACAAGTTATATCGCTGTCTTCGCTGAGCTTGTCGATTCTTCTTCTGACGGCATTGAGGTGAACGAAGTATAAAAATAATTTTATTACAACTATTATTAGCAATATATTAGTATTTTTAGAAATGGTCATAAAAAGAACTTTTTTATTTTTATTTATTGAGTATTGCAACAATCTGTTTCTTGGACATTGGTTATAGTGAGGTAGGATGACAAAAAAAATTATACTAACCTGGCATGGGAGTTACCGTGATCACAAAAAGAGCTGATTTATATTTTATCTTAATGTTATGTTATAATTGGAAAAATCCAACCACGAAGTCTTATATTTCTAAAGTGCAATACTTTTTTTTTTTTTTTACTAATTCTTTTAAAAAGTCATTTCTTCGTTTTATGTACATTTTCTTATCATTTAATATGAATCCATGAAGCCCCCTCCCCCAAAATAGTAAAATATAACCATGTTTTATAGAAAAAAAATATTAAAAACTATCTCTTAAGTATTATTGTTCATGTAATTACATTAATAGGACTTCAAGAATCAGTTAAACATCATGTCATATAGGTAGTTAGTTTTTTTTGTTTGTTTTTTAAACCACTAGGGGTTTACATACTTTTTGTTCAATTATTGTTTTTTTCATATGTATATACTTTGTACTATTTTGATATTTAAATTTGTTTAATGTGATTCATGTTGTGTTTTTGTTACCATTATAATATATATATATATATATATATATGGATATCATAACCTCATTAACCATATATGTTTAGTTTTTTTCTATTTTTAGTTTAGATATTAAAAAAAATAAAAAAAAATGAAATTATTGTAATTTTCAACCCCTCTATAATTTCTTTTCATTTCTGAACTGTTTGTAAGCATGTCATTATATTTAAATAAGTTATTGCCTTATTATTAATCATGTTATCAGTAAGTTTAATATATTTAGAGACCTGCACTTTTCACGTTTTTTTTACTACATAATGTATGGTATATTCTGCAATTTTTTACTGCATAAAAATCTGGGCCTTGGTCATGAGGAAGAAAGTTGTATAATATTAAATTTTCTTTAAAAATATATATTACTTTACTCTTTTATCTCCAACGATTCAAAAGCTAGAGCAATTATAATTTAATGATTAAACTCTGAAACTATACAGAAAAAAGTACTTTTCGCATTTTTTCGTTATTACATACACAGCTCTTAATCTGTATCTGAGACAATATACACACACACCATATATATATGTCAATGTATACACATGTATGTTGTCTTATATATTAGGCCTTCAAAACAATCGAAACTTCCTGGACACTGCAAAATGAGCTTGACTGTAAAAAAGCTACAATTCCAGATAGTGAGAGACAATATTGATTTCATAAATTGGAAAATTTAACAAGAGAGAAAAAAAAAAAATAACTCTAGTTGAACCAATGGATCTTCAAAATGGCAAGAACCTCAGAAACAAAGTGATCTAGATATTAGCAGGTTACCTAGAATTCACCAAGCACTCTTAAACCAAACCATGTCCATAAGAAGATGAGTGCGTTAAAAACGAATCTTTCATCGACTCCTACAAAACGGGGCACATCACTCAGTTTGAGCTGCCCCTATAGGGGGAGACAAAAAATTGAATAACCCGTATGATCAAATATTTTACTTTCCAGTCAAATATCTTATAAATTTTCTTTTGAAGTATTTTGGAAATCGACTTTGTTTCTGTTTAAATTTGATTGTTTTTACCTAACTGATATCTTTTATATTTATTATATTTTTTTATATTTATTTATATTAGAATAGAATAGAATAGAAAAATAATTTTATTCTGGGACATAGTTCCTTGAGAATAACAAAATAGAACAAAATTAAAAGATCACATCTGGCCAAAATAAAATCAATCGAAAAAAACAAATAATGTAAAAAAAATATAAGGTAAACATACTATATACAAAACAAACGAAACTGTATACAAAACAATTAATACTATGACAAGGCACTTAAAGCTATTTGCACTGATAGACTAGTATACAATTTTAAGAAAATAATAAAGAATTAAAAAATAAAAATGTATCAAATTCTTTATTAAAATCAGCTCGAATGGTTAGCAACTATCTGGCTGTTTTTGGGATAGGAATTGGAATAGGAGGGCTTTGAATGTGGATATGGATGGGGAATGTCGAATTTTGATAAGGAGGGAATTCCAGAAATTGACAGAGCGAACAATAAAGGAATTTTGGAATGAGGCAGATCTGAGAGAAGGCATGTGAAGGTTAGAAGGTCGAGATCTTGTGGACAAGGAATGGACTGAGGATTTGAACTGGAGAAAGTTGTAGGCGTAAGAAGGACGATGGTTGTTGAAGATTTGGTAGAGGAACGTACCTAGGAAATATTGTCTTCGGAAGGAGGGGAAAAGCCACTTTAACTCAGTGTAGTGGTGAGAAACATGGGAGTATCTTGGGGCCACGATCACAAATCTTACGCAGCTGTTCATACTAACTAAAAATATATAAGTTAGAAATAATGGCTCTAAAAGATTATTTGGCAGAAATGCGATCAAAAAAGTTATATAGAGCGTTACATCTTTGTCTTTGGCCTACAAAAAAAATTGAACCGAAAATATAATGCTCATAGAATAAAAATTACACTATTTTTTTTCATCTCCTGAAAAGTTTTAATTTTTTCAATGTGACTTACAGGTTTTTGCAGTGTGGCTGTTGATATGTTATTTATATTTATATAACTTAAATTTAACAAAGAAAAAGTTGTAAAAGTTAATTTACAAGTTTACAGTATCATATTATTTTGTTTGTTTTGCATAATAAAAGCTATTTACATTCATTCAATGTGTGATTTTTGTAATTCTGCTCTTTATTTTTAGGTGAGCTACAATGCTGCTGGAGTGTTAAGCCATATGGCTTCAGATGGAGAGAAGGCTTGGACCATCGAGAAGCCATCTCGAGAAAGCGTTCTTGATAGGATGGTTCAAGCTATAGTGCGATGGCCCCTTACTGCTGAGAGGAACATCAATTATAGGTAAAATTATTTTTATTATACTGTTGAACTTGAATGGCTCAATACAGAGTGGTAATTGCCTCTTCATAAAAGCTAGGAAATAAAATAAATGCCTGAAAAATACCATTTAACATCCTCTTGGTAAATACTAGACTTTTCAGAAAATAGTAATATTGTATTGGTTCGTCAATATCATCTGATTTGTTTTCTGGGTATTGAAGAATTTACATGTTTTTTCAAGATCACTTTTGAAATGGCTTATTATTATGTACTAATAATTACGTAAAAGAATTGCTAACTTTATAATTTACTTATCAACAAAGTAAATGAATTTGGAGCATATGATAGTCGAAAAAAAAAAAAAGTGAACTGGTTTAGAAAAGATATCAACTCAATTTTACTGATTGTAGAAGGACTATTGTGCCCTATATTTAAAAAATCGGGTTAAAGATATGTATTATGGTACTTGTTTAATAGCGGCTAGCGTCCGACTGCTATCTGCCAATGTTTATAACCTTAACACTGATAAGCTCTTCGTATTCATATTTATTGTATTATATTCATATTATTATATCTTCGTATTCATATATATTTTATTGTATTGATATTATTGAAATTGTGAACAAAAACAAATGTAATAATAAAAAAATACTATTATTTAACAACATATAGATTAAAATAGACCAAAACATTATAAATATATAATTAAAAAACATCACGAAAACATTGCAACATATATATCAAAATAAATGAAATAATAAAAATAGACAAAAATAGATGAAACAATAAAAAACCACTTAAGAAAGAAGGAAGAAACGATATTAACAAAATATGAAACATTTTATTTTAACTTGATTTATTTTGGTATGGAAAATAATTTACCACTATGAAAGCATCTCCATTTAATCTTCCCGTCGAACTTCATTTGATGACCTTCATCACAATATTTGACCTTTGCAAATACCCCGGCGTCTTGAAAATATTTTATAGCCTCTTCTTCTGAAGACGGTACTTCCCACAATGTGACAACATCCATAATTAAATAACACTAACCCATAGCTAACACAAGAAACAAAAATAAACAAGGGAATAACTTAGGTTAGGTGAGATAAGGGGGGTTATGTAAAATGAGATTAGATAACAAGGAGGTTTTGATGCTACCCGCTATTAAATAAGTACCGGTATTTTATTATAGGAAGTCGAAGTGAAAACATCGGTAGAACTTCATTTAAAACAATTAATTACCTTGTTTCTCCCGCCCTTCGAATATTTTATACATTTGCATCACTTTATATTTCTTTTAGGACTGTGTATAGTATCAAACAATACAAATGATTGTGGGGGAAATGGATCTTTTGGAAAAATTCTGAGTTTCATCGGAAACATTTACCACGAAACTCGTCGAAAAAATAAACTTTAGTAAATATTGCATATCATTAGATTTATTTTAGTAAATCCTCAACATTTCGCATGAAAACCTTTTTAAAAAGTTATGGATGAGTGATTACACAACTAACAATATGAAAGTCCTGTACAGAGATGTACTGGGTATCTGTAAAGGAAGAGGATTGACAATGATCGGACGCTCTCGGCTAAACAGCTAAGCTTTCTACACTATGTATGTATAAGCTGCTTATACCGTTTAGCTTTCTACTCTTATTTCCCTTTAGTTATCGGTTAATTTTCTTCATTCACTATATTTAACCATTTTTTATTGTAAATTCAAATGTGAAATGGTTAACTATTAAAACAAATAAAAAAAATTAAAGGTACTTTAGAGAAAGAAATTTTGAAAAAATTGGCATTTAAGCCCTATCAGGTTTCATTGATGAGGGTAAAACCTACCTTAAAAAACAATTAATAATACCTAGTGAGTTTAATCAAAATCATTAGCCATTTTTGTTAAAATTGTAAAAATGTGTTAGATTGATGATATAAAGTACCACTTCCGGTTTGCTGATTTTGACAAAAAATTTGCTATAACATCCTAGGCATATACAAACCTTAAATACGCAATATCAGTTTCGTACGACTTTATCGTTTTTGAGCTATACTGTTAATACACCCATACACAGACCATATTGTGTGACTTGGTTATTTGGACTCAGGGGACCTCAAAACGTGTATTTCTGTTGAAAACTCAGATTCAAAAGATACCACGATGACAGTACTTAACCTTACTGTATATTACATATTTAGGTAAGTGAAAATAAAAAGATAGCTAAGAAATTTGGTCCAACTATAGAGATATCATGCTTCTAGAGCTGCTATCTAATAACATCATGAGAAGACTCAAATGTTTGTACTGAAAAGGTTTTGGGTGAATACCATTGTGGCTTCCGTTATGGAAGGAGCACAACAGACCAAATTTTTGTTATACTGCAAACTATGGAACTTTTCTATAATATAGACCTTCACCATCTGTTTATAGATTATAAACAAGCTTTCGATAGTGTGAAAATAGGTGCTCTAGTCAGCAACCTCAAAGAATATGGTATACCTGCGAAACTTATAAGGTTTATAATAATAACTTACTACTACTAATGTTATGATTGGGAACAATATGGGGTGATGCCTTTGATGTAGTCTCTGGATTAAGGCAGAGGGACTATACATTATTATCGGCTATACTGTTCAACTTGGCCTTACAATCGGCAGTTAAAAATGCAATTAAAGCTGGAACGCTTGCCAATAAAACCTGGCAAATTTTCGCGTAAGCAGATGATTTGGTAAGCGAAGCAGCACTAAGAAAGACTAGTTATTGTAAAATAGAGGTAGTAGAGTCGGGCTCATCCTAAATCAAGATAAACAAAATATATGTTATTAAAAACCGCAAATAACCAAAGTAAAAAAGAAACAACAGTGTCTCCCTTCTCAATTATTCATTTAAAAACATGACCAGCATCATTTGCTTAGTTTCCTCGATCAATGTGGAAAAAAAGATTAGCCATGAAATAGAAAGTAGAATCATAGCCGGAAATACGGTATATTATGCGCACCTGAAACTTCTTAAATAAAAAATTCTCTCAAGGAAGACCGAACTGCAGCTGTATAATACTCTAATCAAGCTGGTGGTATGTAATCAATAAAGTATTAATTATTTCTTTCATTTATATTTTAACAGTGCTCCTGCCAAAACTGACATTTCATATTATACAACCGTGCTCCTGATTGATTTAATGTTTTGAAAGTGTAGTTAATCGTGAACCATTAGATATCATGGCATAACTTTTAGATTATTGGTATTTCAAATTAATAAATCTTTAAAATTTCGAGTTTTATATTAATAGATAAATTCATTTCCAAATTTTTTAGATGTGTATTTGTTTACCTAAAATACTTATCTTAATTTTATTCTAATTTTTTTTTTGTCAGGTCATTTGAACCGATTCTGGGTCTGGCAAGAGTTTTCCACACCCCAGAATGCCAACATTGGGCTGTCTGGGCCCTCGCAAACCTTACTACTGTTTATCGTAAGTATTCATATACAACAAATTTTTAATTCATCTACAAAATTATTTTTCTATAAATAGAACCAACATCCTTGAGACAAGCTTTTTTATTATTTTGATGAATGGAAGGAATGATGGATGAAGGAGTAGTGTAACATTTTCAAATTATTGTCAGGAATGAAAGAGGTTGACATGTTTTTCGGCATATATAAATATATAGTATATATTTATATAATAATAATAATAATAATAATAATAAGGCTTAGCGAACCCGAAGGTTCGATGCCGACACCAGCAATCGCTTGTTACACACCTCCCTCCACCGTTCGCCGTCCAAACCCAGTCCCTTCAGATCGGCTTTAATGCAATCCTCCCATCTTCGCTTCGGTCTACCCCTCGGACGCTTACCATTCGGCACAGCAAATATTAACCTTTTAGGAATTCTCTCGTTACTAAGCCCAGCAACTTTACAAGCCCATTTGATTCGCCGCGATGAAATTACCTCAATTATATTACCCGGATACATCTCACGCAATTCGGCGTTGTGTAACCGTCTAAACTCTCCGGTTAACTCATCCTTTTTCGGTCCGAATATTCTACGCAATACTTTATTTTCAAAAACCTTAAGACGCTGCTCATCCCTTAATGTAAGCGGCCAAGTTTCGCATCCATAAAGAACTGTAGGTAAGATAATTGTTTTATAGATTCTAATTTTTAAGTTTCGGGACAAGAGGCGCGAACTAAGTAGTTTTGTCACAGAAAAATAACAAGCGTTCCCCGCCTTCAGTCTAACCTTAATCTCTTCTTCAATTTCGTTTTTTCTAGTTATCGTAGAACCTAGATACCTAAATTTATCTACCTGTTCAAACATATTACCATCTATATCGATATCACCAGTAGTATCGCCATTTTTGCAGCTAACCATATATTTTGTTTTATCCACGTTTATTTCAAGTCCTAGTTCTTTCCCGGCTTTCATTAACGTTGTCGTATTCAGTTTTATAGTTTCAACGTCTTCGCTTAACAGTACCAGATCATCAGCATAGCCCAGCACGGATGTTGTCCCGCCCAGATCCAACCCTTTCTCGGTTCGCATTACCTCCCTAATGGCATGTTCTAATGCCAAATTGAACAGGACAGGCGAAAGAGAATCCCCCTGTTTTAAGCCCGAACGAACCTCAAATTTTTCGGACAAATTATTACCGATTCTAACTTTATTGAGTGTCTCCGTCAAGCACATCCTGACTAGATTTACTAGTTTTTTTGGAATCCCCTGCTTGATTAGAATATTATACAATTTCTGGCGGTCAATAGAATCGTAAGCCTTTTTAAAATCTATATACAGCTGGTGAACAATACCGTTATACTCCAATTTTTTCTCTAATATTTGCCGTAAAGAAAATATTTGATCAATAGTCGAACGATTCCGTCTAAATCCGCATTGGTAGTCTCCGATAATTTCCTCGGCGTATTCCGTGATTCGACTGGTTAAGATTAAAGTGAATATTTTATAACATACCGGAAGGAGTGAAATTCCTCGATAGTTATTACAATCCGTCCTCGGACCCTTTTTGTGAATCGGAATAAGAATAGATTCTTTCCATTCTTCAGGTAATTTCTCGTTCACCCAGATCTTTTTAACCAACCGATGTATTTTAGAAACTCCAGCTTCCCCGCATGCCTTAATTAGTTCAGTAGGAATATTATCGATTCCCGCTGCTTTATATGATTTTAATTTTCCGATAGCTACTTCAACTTCCTCTTTACTTGGTCCTTCTATTAACGGTTCAGCACTCTGGTACTCAGAAGGAGGACACAGATCATAATTTCCCGTATTTAAAATATTGTCAAAGTGGTCCTTAAACTTATTCAATATGTCAACCGGATCGGTCAGAATATTGTTATTATCATCCCTAATTCCAGACGTTACGGGCCCTACATATTTACGTGATCTGTTTATACCTTTGTACATGTCTCTTACGTTATTTTCGATTCTATTAGTTTCTATTTCAATTATTTTATTTTTAAGATACTCCCTTTTTTTATTTTTGAGCAATTTTGTCGTTTCGTTCTTTGAGATTCGGAAGTATTCCAGATTGTCTTCGCTAGGATTATTTAGAGCTTTTAATTTAGCGGCTTTTCTTTTTTCACACATGTTTAAGCAATCTTCATCAAACCACGGTTTGTTATTCTTATTTTCCTTTTTTCCTAGACACGAGTTACCGACCGCTTTAATATTATCTCTGATCTCTATCCATAACTTGTCAATATCCTCGTGGTCCTCGTCAGGAAGCTCTAAAGCTTCAAACCTATTCTTAACATCTAGCTCGAATTGGTTTCTAATTGATGGATTTTTTAATTTTTCCAAATTAAAATTCTCAAAATCGAAACGGTTTTCTTTTCTCTTTTTTATATTAAGTTTTTGTCGAAGTTTCGCGATTACTAATTCATGATCCGACCCACATTCTGCTCCGCGATAAGACCGTACATTAATTATACTACTTTGCCAGCTGTGTTGTATCAAGACATGATCGATTTGATTTCGTGTTTGCGAATCCGGTGATGTCCAAGTATATTTATGAATATCCTTATGTTTAAACGTCGTACTTTTAATTATCAGGTTTTTCGAGATGGCAAAGTTTATCAGACGGATCCCATTATCATTACTATATTCGTGCAAACTTTCTTTACCAATCGTCGGAATATAAACTTCTTCCCTTCCTACCTTTGCGTTCGCGTCACCTACAATTATTTTCATGTAGGTTCGTGGTAGTTTATCATAAACCCATTCGAGTTTATCGTAAAATTCACTTTTGACTTCATCGTCACTGTCTTCGGTCGGACAATGTATGTTTATTAATGCGATTTTAAACCAACGTCCCTGAAATGTAGCTACCGAAATTCTATCACTAAAGAATTGTACGTCCCTCAAAGCGGATAGTAATCTACGCCTAATTAGAAACCCGGTACCTAAACAATGATTCTCGCTTCCTCCGTACCAAATAGTGTACTTCCCTTCCCTCATCGAGCCCTCCCCTGGCCAGCGAACCTCTTGCAGAGCCACGACATCCAAATTGTACCCATTTACCTCATTCGCGACCGATTTTAGCCCCCCTGCTGTGTTTAAACTCCTTACGTTCCACGTACCAATATTTAAATCCCTATATTTCAAATTGCGCCATGAATCCCCTAAAGCAGTCCCCACCCGGAGACCCGAACGGGGGACTAGTTTACTTCCGGATAATGAGCGTTTTACCTTAGGAAGATCCATGACTTTTTGTGGTGTTTGGTGAACTAAAGATATGTGAGTAGGGCGTTCAATCCTACGTCACACCCTCCAGCAAGTCTGGTGGGCCCCTACCTCCAGCAAGTCTGGAGGTCCCCTCCCTCCAGCAAGTCTGGAGGGCCCCTCTCATTGTTGGTCAGCGAGTCCATCGGACTTAGCCGGGAGGAACTTCCAAGAAATTTCCACCGACCATCCCCACATCCGCCACCCGTGAGACGCTCCCCATACGCGGTAATGAGCCCGCGCGAGGAGTATATATTTATATAGCATAGTATATATATAGATCCCTTTTTCGTCTCTCAAGTTTGATGAGTTTTGATGAATGAGGAACCCTGTATATACTAAATCTATATCTATACTATATAGATATAGATTCTATATATAGTGTAGATTAATATTTTTATTTACTTAAAATAATTTATACGTACATACATAAGTGGCGCGACATCCCGTTACCGAGACTGGGCCTCCGCCAGTTGGCTTTGTCTTCTGCTGCAGCTCTCCAGTTCCGTACACCAAGCAGGGTTCTCGCATCATAGGCCACGTTGTCCAACCATCTCGTTCTCGGCCTTCCTACCCGTCTTGCGAGGTGCAGCTCCTCCATCATTATTTTCTTTGGTATTTCAACGGTGCTCATTCTGGCCACATGCCCTGCCCACCTTAGTCTGGCAAGTTTAATATACGTGACTACGTCGATGTCTATATAAAGAGAACTGAGCTCCCTATTTTTTCTTTTCCTCCAGACATCACCCTCCTTTACTGGACCATAAATCCTTCTAAGGACTCCTCGCTCAAACACACTCAGCTTCATCTCATCACTTTTCGTCATCGTCCAAGCCTCTGAGCCATATTTCAAAACAGGCCTTACAAGGGTCTTGTATAGAATCAGCTTGGTCTTCTTTGAGAGATACCTACTTCTTAAGTGTCGGCCAAGTCCAAAGACACATCTATTGGCAGCCGTGATCCTTCTCTGTATTTCTTGAGCCATGTCATTTTTGCTATTTATTTCAGACCCAAGGTATATACAGTTTTTTACTCTCTCAAACTTAAAAGAACCTACCTCAAATGGAGAGTTCAGATCCACCACACCACAAATTCTCATATACTTAGTTTTCTTCTCATTGACTTCTAGACGAAGTCGTCTTGCAGCTGTTTCAAGGGCTATAAATTCTTCTCTGAGAGCCCGTTCAGACCTTCCTATTATGTCAATATCATCAGCAAAACCAAGAAGCTGTGTCAGGCGATTGAAGATTATATCGCTGGTCTGAATACCGGAATCTCTTACAACTTTCTCCTCCGCCAAGTTGAATAATAGAAAGGCAAGGGCATCCCCTTGCCGAACCCCACTGCTCACTTTAAACTATTCGGAGTCATCGGAACCGATGCTAATTCTACATTTCGAGCTGTCCATGGTCATCTTGATTAAGCGTATAAGCTTTTGAGGGATACTTAGCTCCTCCAAGGCACAGTATAGTTGCGTTCTATCAACGCTGTCGTATGCTGCTTTAAAGTCCAGGAATAAATGGTGGGTGACTACCTTACGCTCCATACTCTTTTCTAGGATCATCCTGAGAGAGAACAGTTGATCAGTGGTTGAGCGTCCTCGTCAAAATCCAGCCTGATATTTCTCCAGTTCCTTTTCAGAATATGGGATGATCCTCTCAAAAAGAATGTTAGAGAGCAGCTTATAAGCACACGAAAGGAGTGAGATTCCTCTATAGTTAGTGCATTCCGTTTGATCTCCCTTCTTATGTATTGGACAACAGATAATGGCTGTAGCCCATTCCGTAGGCATAGCTTCCCTCTCCCATACTTTATAATATTTATAATAATTTATAGTCTAAATAAATTTAAAATGTTGCAATATCTTCATTATGTTCATAGCTCTAGCATAAATTTTATTATAAACAGATAAATTTTATCTGTTTGCAGCCAACAAGTATTGCTCCTTGGTAGAGAGCGAGGGTGGTCTGGCGATCTTGGAAGAGGTCTTGGCAGACCCTCGTCCTTATCAAAATATCAAAGACCTGGCTAAGATTGTCATCGAAAAATGTAATGAATATCGAGGGGAGATGTCCGAGCGCAGCAAATCTCCCCAATTGGACGGCTGATGGCTACCAGCATTTTACAATCGCTGTGTATAGCTGTGGCGTCGCGCTGTCGACTATGCCTATCTGTGTATATACATCCCCGTGGAGGTGGAAGATGTAGGTGGGCGCTAACCAGTTGGTACTAATTACATTTATTATTTTATTTTAATTATACATTTAAATATATATTATTGCCATTGTTGATAATACAAATTATAGATCCTCATTGATTTATTAAAAAAAATATATATTTTAGTTTTCATATTTACTGCCTTTTGCACCGTTAGCTCTCAGCCATAATTATAAGTTTATATTTTGCTATTTATATGGCTTTGACCCTGACTATTATTTTTACAATTTCATTATAACTTTTTAACCTCTTATGGATTGATTTCTGAAACAGTTAACTTTGTTTTTAAATATATCTAGAGATGGCTTATTGAAATACCCAGTACTAGTATATTAGCTTTTAAACATATAGAACAGTAAAAAATACAGGATTTATTTATTTTTTTGTTATTCTTTTGGCGTTCCCTCATTTTCTGCGTTGTGTAAATAAAGTTTAGATGAGCGGGTGTAATTTCTGTAATATTTTAGTGTTAATAAAGTGTAGCGATCATTCAGTTTGTTAGAATAATATAAATATATCGTTATCATAACTGTCGTAGAAATAATAACTTTACATATAAAACTGTAATAGGTTAATTGCCAAATTTAGAACATATACCTATTCCCACTTTGCCAAATTTCAACTCTTGTGGTTCTATCCATTTAGAAACCATACTGGAATATTCTTGAGAGAATTTGATTTCTTGAATTATTCAATTCATATCCCGATGTTTTACTTCATTAAATTATTAATTTAAATATTTTACACTTAAATATATGTATGTATGTGTATATATTTCTTTCTAAATATGTATTTAAAAAAAAAAAAAGAAAGTAACATTTGTTAAATGTTAGCTCTATTTTGAAATAATAACATATACATAAAATATTTTAATGAAATCTGCCGTACTGTAAGTTAAATGTAATTATTTTTTCACTTTGCCATCATATCACATCAAAAATTGTATTGATAATCATTTTAAACGAGTGAAGAATGAATTTAAGTTTAACTTTTGGTACCTAACTGTTAACTAGAGAGATAGTGATGGAAATCACAAATTCACCTTTATTCTGTGAATATTTTAGTACACCATGATAAGGTAAATGTTGTTCTAAATTTTCTTTTTCTTTTTTTATTGGATAAAAGTGTTTCAATATTCATTGTTGTTCACTCCCCCCCTTTTTTTTTTTAATTACAACTTATTGATACATATTAGTTGAGTGTTTTTTTTAATTGTTATTTTACAATTTAAAATTGATATTATAACTTTTTCTCATTTTAAAAAAATTAAAAGATGAATTTACTTGATCAATTTATAAAATAATTGTATAACGCCAAGATTTTAAAAATGTGATTCTTATGAATGATCTAGTTAAATGAGTAATAAAATTAAATAAATTATTATAATAATGTTTAATGAGAAAATGGTACAGTTAGGATATAAGTATTACTATTGGTTCATGTTTTCAAATTTAAGATAATCTGAATTCATTTTCCTCCCTGAGAATTTTCTATACTCAAAACTAAATTGTTTATTGGAAAATATTCAATTACAATTTTTAAAAAATTTAAATATAAAATACTCTCTCTCTATTATTAATAGTTGATTTTAAAAGTTTTACTCATTATTCTTGGTATTTAATTTCTTAGTGCTTCTACTTTTGACATAAGTATAAATATCTTTAGCATCAATAAATTTAATGTTGTAATTTTTCAATATCAAGAGCCATGATTATTTATAGATATTTTTTATATTCGAAACATTCTATTATCAGGTATATTAAATTATTTATTCGGGTTATGATTAATTTGGGTTTAATTGTAAATGTATCAAAATTACTATTTATTCTCAATTGTTTCTTGTTGTTTGATTAATATCAAATAATTATATCATAATCATAGAAGCTTTATATTTCTTCAAGTTATATATTTTATGATTACTTTAAATAATGATTGGGGCATGATTAAAATAAAACATTATTTAATATATGCTGATATTTACTTATATCAATATTTTTATTTTTATTTAAGGCTGTTTTTTCCTTACAAATTAATTTGTCTGACATAAATGTTATTTTAGAAACTGAAACATTCAAAAATTGAAACACATTGTAATATATGTAAAAAAAATTAATTTTACCTTTGATTGGTGAAGTTGTTTTAATCATCTAAAAAATTATAAGGTTGATATCATATACTTTAATTTGTTTCATTTTTTTTTTTAAATATAAAATTCAAACAACCATATAAACTATCTGTCCAAATATTAAAAGAGAAATTCCCTTTGAGCTGAATACTTGTAATAAGTGTCTATGTATTAGCTCATTTATAATACACTGTATATATAATACAATTATACTCGACTTTGTATAGTCCATTAACTAGTTATTGTATAAAAATATATACTATATTATTTTATTATTTTGTTAATTTTGTGAATATATTTTATCATTTTGATTTATATTTTATTTTTTAAAACTGTGATTAGATTTTTACTTGGTTTATTAATTAAAAATTTCCTGTAAAGAGGTTTATTGCTTTTTATAAAGTTTCAAAATCTTGATGTTAATAAATTATGAGTAGTATTATTATGTATTATTATTTCATTATCCTGTTCTTATCACTTTTTGAACCCAACGTTTCATTATCACCTTTTGAAACCAATGATATCTATTGGCTTTGTACAAACTTGGTCTGGCATCCTTATCTATTTCCATCCTTAAACTCTCCAACTTCCTCTGAAAATCACATATTCCCTCCTCTTGAACTATCAATCTTCCACAGAATATTATTATTATGATTTTTTTTACTTTCAATTACCTATGTATGTAATATATGTAATCTGAGTTTTCAACGGTAATACACTTTTTGAGGTCCCCTGAGTCCAAATAACTAAGTCCTGTCTCCTGGCCATATAGGCATTAAAGGAAACAAAATGGCTGATAGAGCAGCAAAAGAAGCTCTTACCCTTCCAGGAATCGGTAAAGCTTTTTTGACACCATCTGAACTTGCACAACCTCTGAGGGAAACCATATCCCAAGAATGGCAAAGACGTTGGGACAACAGCGCACCTAGAAAATTAAAGACAATTAAGAAAGAGGTGCAACCGTGGACCAGCTCCAGACGCAGCAGTCGTGGAGAAGAGGTCATTCTCACACTGTACGAAACTGAAAGTGCGTATTTGAGATTTTTATAATCCTTGGATGTTACAGCAACATTTTCGACAAACCGGAAGTGGTACTTTATGTAATCAATTTAACATATTTTTACAATTATCTCAAAAACCGCTCTAACAATTTTGATAAAACTCAGTAAATCAGTGTATTCGCTCTAACAATTTTGATTGAACTTACATATAATCGTATTGATAACCAATGTAGGTTTTATTTTAATTTATGTTCCATTACAGGGCTTATAATGGCTAATTTTCAATATTAGCTTTCTCTAAAGTGCCTTTATTTTTTATTTGAAATAATAAATCTTTTCATAATAATCTTTGATATAAAAAATATAAAATATGAAAGAATTTAATAATTAACTAAAGGAGATATAAGAGATCGTAATTCATAATAGTTGTAAATAAAGAACCATGAAATTTTTGTTACTGCTACTAACAGGTACTATCATTGGACCAAGTTTGATAAAATGATTTTTTGTGTTGGTATCTAGGTGGCACCTGTATCAATTTTTTTTGCAAGCACACATTCCAATTGCAAAGAGAATTCCCCATCTTTAAGAATAAAATTCTTTTGTATCCATGCAGGAGAGAGAAATGTTTTATTGAAAATAATGCTGCCCTACTACATAGGGTTGCTTTAAACATAGCATACCTATCAATCCATATAGACATAATTCATATCTCCACATAGATTATTACAGTGAAGCTCGAAATAGGTTTTGTATCAAATATAAGCTCCTGTCATGCTCAAATACCATGAATGGGGTACAGTTGGATTCAGAATTTCACGGGGGGGGAGGGAGGGGGGGGTAGCGAATCATATTCTCCACTTTTGTTTTTCTTTCTAAAATAAATAAAGTCGATACAAACATTTTGCTAGGCTTCAATATCTGGAACGGTGCACGGGACAAATTGTACCTTAAAGGTTTTTCGATCCGCCCGTGGTACAAAGCAATTTATCAAACGTTTTAATTTCGCCTCGAGATCCCCAGAGACGCCCAATATACCGTACAGCAATAGTCAAAGTGGGGGAAAATTAAGGAAACGAAGGATACGAACTATCGATAGTTACTAGGAATATCGATATGGGTATCGATAGTTTTAAATTATCGATATATCTATAGTACTATCGACTATCGCCCATCCCTACTTTTAGAGTTGTGGACTGCAGGTTGAAACTTCATGACTAGTCATCAACGGGCACAATTTTTCAATAAACTAGTGCAGATTCTATTTATTGGGTTGTCCGGAAAATAATGCAGGATTTTGAGTTTTCTTTAAAATACCTCTCTATAGAATAAACTGTTTACGTTTACTGGATTATTCATTTGTACGAATGTCAACACTTATTAATCCTCTTCCAAACGATAATGTTTGTTTACTTCTGTAGCATTTCGCTGTTTAGAAATAATTCATTCTTTCCTTAAAAGGGCAGGTTACGCAAGTGGAGTCACAGATTTCAATGAAACTTTTTTTGGTGATACTAGGTCGAAAAATATTAAATCCATGTTAATCCAAATTATCTGCCAATGCGCTCGAGGAGCAGACAAAAAAATTATAAAATTGTATTGTTGTTTTATGTGACTGTTTACTGATTTTGCTCTGCATGGATTTATAAGTTATTATATATCAATCGATTCGTTTTTTTTTGTTTTTTTTTTGTAAAATTAGAAAAACATAGTTCCCTAAATTCATGTTTCTATATTGAACACAGGTATATCTGTATGAAAAATATATATATTTTTTTCTAAACCGGACGGGTATTAAAATTAATATTAAATTTAAAAAATATAGTATTTTGTCGAGATTCAACACGGCAATTATTATTGTGCGTGGTACAGACCCCCTTTTA